CCAAGCAGCAGGGGTCCTTATGATTTCTTCTGTGTTCCACCTGGGACTTAACACAACAGCCTGCATGTGGGCCTCTTATTTGAGTTCTCAAGGGGGAGGGCATCGTTGGCTGCTGGCCAACAATCTAGATTGCCTCCTCTGAGTCAGGTGTTCACCTCTAGTCTAACCAGCTGTGACAAGAGCCCTGAAGTGAAAACAAGACCCTGTGGTGGCCAATTCTACGGGTGGATAGGGCAGTTGTCTAAAAAAAGCTATCTGGTCCTGGGTGTCTACTGCCCTTGGACATAACTAGATAAATCCTCACTGCTTAGTGTTTTTTGCTTTTATTAGTCTCCACCAAGCACTTTGACAATGTTGGCTGAATCACCCTTCTGGGTTTTTAAAAAAACTTAAGTCCTAGGCAGAAGTTCAGAGGCCATTATGTGTCTACAAAAATGAGACATTTCTATATGCCAGTTGTCCCTTTGTTTACAACCACTAGAGTAGATCAAGAAAGGAGTACAACTTACTCTCAAATGCTTGGATTGAAGGGGATACAGGAAATGAGGAAAACATCTGTGGGCAGGGCTACTGTGCTTGCTGCTGGACAACTCCCAAGGCCAGTTATTAAATGGATGTGCAGCAACAAGTAGGTGCTTTGTTTCTCCCATAGCAAGTTATTTTCTGTTTTGCAAATTTGAATTTGGGCTGGGGACTTAGCTCAGCGGTGCCACCACCTGCCTCGCAGGCGTAAGGACCTGAGTTCAATCCCTGATACCAAACAAGCAAATTTGTTGAATTCCTTTTGTTCCTGAGCTCAACGACCTAGATACCTGAGACTTTCTCCCCCTTCAGTGCCCTACGTCAGCATTTCACACAACTGCAGAACTGACTCTTCGCGTGGCTCCTGGGCTCTGAAAGCTGCAGGCACACGCTTTAGTCTTACACTGCCATCACGAGGCGCTGCTGGAACTCCAAGGTGCTTTAGCTAAAATAACCAATTGCTGTCAGATGCCCATTTTCAGAAAGGAAAGTAAGCAAGACTTGACTCCGTCGCTACTAGTGACTGTCCTTAGATGAGAGGATTAAGTCTTCTAAACCACAAGTGTAAAAGAGCTCTGAACCCATTTCTCACTAGCACTTAGGGTCAGCACTGGATAAATGACTGCTATCATTAATCACCCGAAATTAACCTTCCCTGAAAGCATTATAGAGGCTCCTGAAGGGAGGAAGATGCTTAATACACTGGACAGGCTCTGGCTGAGCATCAGTTGGTCGTGTATGTTAGGCACAGAGGCTTGGGATACTTTTCTCTTAATGTAAAACATCACCAACGGATGGTGAGCCACATAATGTGTGGTAGTAAAATATGTGAGAATAGAGCACAGAGTGGAAAGTGCAGCGAGTATACTGCTGTGTGGCCCTTAAATTATACATGAATGAATACAACACAAATACACACTAAACCATGACAGGCAGAGGTGAACGTCTAGAAAATACACAGGGGAATCATTTAAAGACGTAAGACTGCATTAACTGAGGATATAAAACAATACCAAAAATGGAAAGATGAAAGAACAGCAGAAACACACAGGAACAAAAGGTAGACATAAACCCAGCTGTATCAACTACTACTGTCAATGTCGGCGAACTAAGTACTTCAATTGAAAAGGGCAACAGCTTGCCAGAGAACAGTCCAAGTACTTTGCTCGGGTGGGCAGCGCCTCACTCCCCAGGGTCTTCCCATGCCAGTTACAGATGAGACGGAAAGATTTTGCCACTGCCTAAAGCCACTCAGTGCGTGGAAACATTAGGATCTGAACTCGAATCTACTTTTGCTTTTATGCTAGAAGTACTTGGATCCTGTCTAAGAGTTCCGTTCGGATGAACTTCCTAGGCACTTCGGAATACACTTGGTTTCCTAAACTTTTATACTGATATGCTGGCGACCCATCAATCCCATTCATCTTGGGGAGCTGGTGCTCACATAATCGCACCTGACCATTTACCTCCCCCTCCCCTTCCTCTGATCTGTGTCCACCATCTCCAGTCTGCCTGTCCCCTGCTTGATTGATGTTAGCTTATGCACTGCTCTCACTGAGGTGCCACACTCAGCAATTAACGTAATAAAAAGGGGGTCAAAAGCAGTTAGTCAGTACATAACACCGCCACTAGACTTTCTGCTTATAGAACTTTTTTCTACTCCTTTCAAATAGCTTTTATTCAGTGTATAACAGAATGTGTAAAGCGCCTGCATCTTATGTGTACTGCTCCGTGACGTTTAAATACACAACTTGCCCCCCAGATTAAAATATGAAACACATCTACCTACTCAAGAGTTTGTCATCTTTGCAGCTTTGCATGTTTACTCCTGTCCAGAGGTAACCAATGGCACGATTTATCTGTTCTTATACACACATGCGTGTGCGCAAACATATGCCATTCTTTCATTATCTGGCTTTCTCATGCCATCAGAGATTCATCCGCTTATGTTAACAGTTCTTGCTTTTGTATCATTGTTGTACAGTGAGAATGGGCTCTGGGGAATATGCAGCCTATTTCAGCCTCTGATCAAGAAAACCCAACAGTCCAGAGTCTGAAACTTTCACAGGTAAGGTCACCTGCCGATGTCCCACTTCCTCTCCAGTCCACACCAATTACCTTCTGTTATGCACCCAAAACTTTGCCTTACTCCAAATAAGTTGGCATCTGGAGGTGGAGCCTTTGAGAAGTCATTTAAGTCATGAGGGCAAAGAAGGATGAGACAAGTGTCCTTATTGAAGCCATGGAGAAGTCTTTCAGGGCATAGAAGGTGGCATCACAGATCCTGATGAGCCCTCACAGGAACAAATCACCCAGCTCCTTGATCCTGGATTTCTAGCCTCCAAAACTGTGAGAAATGTGTAAGTCACTCATCAATGAATACCAGTGACGTTACAGCAGCACTGACATGCCATCTGACACTTTTAAAAATAACACTCAACATGTTATTTCCAAAATGTTTATAGGGAAAGTTAAATATTTACACAAAAGCATATGAGGGAAGAGCAGACAGAACTGATGGCTTATCTGCAGGGAGTATGGGGGCCTTCAGCTCCAAGGGAAGCTGCTCATTAGCAAGGCGCCTCACCTAGCTAAGCTTGGAAGGGCCTGATATGACAAACCCACTTCCTTTCATTCTCCTGTCTCATCATTGCTACAAGAGGTTTGAAGGGTGTTTCCACCCTTCATCTTCACAAAACCAGGGCCCCACATAACCTCCCTTCAGCTCTGCAGAGGCACAGCCTACCCTGCACCACATCCTGGGTTGCACCAAGAGGTCCTCCGGTAGCCCAGGCAAGCACCCTCTATTTCTCATTGAAGGGTTCACAACTGGCCTCAGAAATGAGCCAAGAGGCAGAAACCTCTTCTCAGTTCAGCAGATGTGACCAGCAGGAAAGCAGGCCCTGGGTTAGAAAGTGAGTGTGTGCCAATGGGTGCTAAGTGGCCATGGTGTTTCTACCAAAAGAAAGCACCTCCTGCTTATTTCAGGGTGTATAGTTCTGTCCACTAACCGTGCACTCTCAGCTGCATTCAGACAGTAACATTCATCGAAGTTGCAAGAGTCTTACTTGGCTTTTGGGGAAGAGCGCCATTACCTGGTTTAAAACTTACTGCGAGAAAATGTAAACACATCTCATCAGAATTAAAGGCAACTGTTATCTGAGACCTTAAAAGGACTTGCCATAATACAGCTCAGGTTACTGTGACCCGCACAGCAGCAGCTGCCAGTACTTGTGAGAGCCTATGATGAACGCGACCTCAGCCCCACCCCAGACTCACTGCAAAGGGCCCGGCTGACAAGCAAGCTGGACAGACAGAAGTGAGAGCTCTCAGAAAGCCTGTATGTGCCTAGGGCATGCAGAGCCCGAAATACCTGCAAGTGTGCTAGGCAAGTGGATGCCATCCAGAGCTGGGTTACCGTCAACCATTTAGGGACCTGATTCACAAAACCCAGAGCATTTCATGATTTATTTGAGTTTTTATAGAGCTGGTAGGGCAGTATGCAAAATATTCCCCAGGTAAAATCTGGAATGAATGGCTTTTAGAAACTACAGGATGAGTAACAAACAAGACTACAGCAACTCCATTTGATTTGAAAATTTAATACACAGTAGCAATCAGAACAACAGGCCAAAAAGAAGAGCTGATGCCATTTTAACAGTACTCTTGGCATGTACAGGGAGGAAGGAAGACAGTAATCTTTACCTATGAACGGTCTCCTTTCCTCCTACAGAGCTGGATTTCAATGACTGAATCAGCAAATTTGAACAAATTAAGAAGGAAAGTTCCTTTTCTAATAGCCATCAGAGCTTGATGAGTTTTATTTAACGATGAGAGCTTAGGGCAAGGTGACCAAGTGGCCAGCTACTCTAATTGCAGAAGAAACATAGATAAGGTGCCAGGAATCCAAGATTACTCTTGAAGAGCCTCAGTGGACTCCAGTAGTTTAATGTATACAACAAAGACTCAAAAAAAATTAACAAGAAAAAATTTTTAAAGTAAAGTGATAAATTCCAGTGAATCAGGTCCCGGGTAGTCTTTAAAGGAGCAAACATTTACAGTAAACATTTTAAACTCTGGAATGCAGGTATGGTACAATTACCAGTACATTTACAAAACTGCTTAGACAGTAGTTGCTCCAGAGTAGAATTAAAAAATGTACAAGCCAGTTCACAATGATTTCAGATATATTAAAATACACTGTTAATCATAAAAATACTTTACTATATACATGTACACTGTATAAACCCTAAGTCACCTACTGAAGGAAGCCTGTAACTCGCTTTCTAGCCCTTTGGCCTGGGCAACCCCGCAGGGCTAGTGCTTGGTCTCCATACCTTCCGCATGGGCTGGTCAGCCCTGCAGACGCTCCTGTGTCGGCCCTGCGTCTTTCTGCAGAGTCTCCGTGGCACTTCTAGCTGGAAGAGTCAGTTTTACTTCCACTGTACCTTACTTTTCTAAATGCTGATCCTGATCCTAGTAACTCTGGGCATTCACATAATTCATTTGCAATTTGGTTACACTTTAAAATAAGGCTATAGTTCATTTCATCAGTTATTACACTGTCTTGCTTGTAGTCAGGATGGTGTGCAATAAATTCTCTCATCCACCTGGCAACTGTCATTAGTTCTCCTGAAACACAAATTTTTAAGACAACGTAAGACATTTTTAAAAGCTGAACTGGGCCTTAGTGGCCAACTAAACATCAGTCTATAAGGAATGCAATCTGACCTGTCAGTGTAGCCCTGCGGTGCCTCACACAGTATGTGAAGAATTCCTCCTGGGTGAGGGCAACGCTGCAACACGTCCATCCCTATGGCTACTTGGTAAGTGTTGCCCCGTACAGCGACATAGCCACCTCCTAAGGGACGGGAACCAGTGGCTATGCACAAGCGCACAGATCCTCCCTTGTGGTCACGAGGCTGCCTCCAAGGACCACAGGATCCCCCAGGATGATCGCTCACACAGCAGTGGAGAAAACAAAGACTAGGAAGTAGTGAGCACAGTGAATCCAGAGGGAAACTAGCAGATGAACCATTTGAGGGGTGATGTGGCGTTCTATAGCGGACCCTTTGTGGCCACGGACGCCATTACTGTTATGACTGCTGGTGTCCCTGGTGCCGGGCACTGTAAACGTGACCTCTACAGAGCCAGTAAGCAAAGGCACCCACAAGTCATCACCACACCAGCTGAGGGGCCGCCACGCAGGCTGCACAGACTTGGCTTTCAGAGGCCCTGCCCTGCAGGACGTGCAAGGAGCACAGAGCTGTCACTAACACCAGGCAGGCCACCAGCCCTGAGCTGCATCGACACTGCTGATTTAAAGGTGTCACTAAGAAGGGAACTTTCTGCTAATTCAAACCGTGACCATCAAAAAGTGTAAGGCCTACCTAAATTGCAAAGTTGTCCAAATGTGGAAAATGTGCAGGGACAAAATTAGGTATATATTAAAGGGTCTTTGCAGGACTACTTTAAGGGTCTGTACTTCTGCGTAAGAAAAAAAGGCTGCTATACCAGATGCTCTCTTCTTAATTAGCTTCAGATAGTTCATGATACTGCATCTGGTGTCCACATCCACCTCCATATTTTCCAGGTAAGAATTCAGGATCGGGATGAGTCCAGGAAAAACACCTTCCTGCAAGAAGCAAGGGGACAGGTTGTGAGGCCCTTGAGCTGATGCATAGAGGGAGGGCCAGGCAGGCCTACCTTCCCGTTGATGATGGTGTCTATGCTCATGAGCGTGTACTCCTCTGAGGACAGGTCCGAGCCACCAGGCGCCTTGCCACACCCATCCACCACGGCGTTGCCACCTGCGGGGAGGGCAGATGAGCTGCAGCAGCTGGTGGCAGCAAAGACTGACCCTCGAAACCCAAGAGAGTGTAATACCTTTGCAAATATCTTTCCTGAAATAAAACATTCCCTGCAAGACAGCATCTCGTTTCTGCGCTACTTTCATGTTTTCATCAACCTAAAGGAGAGAAAGAATCATGACTAAGTCAAGACACTCCTGATTAGCTGAGGTGGTGGTGCCTTCCTCACACACTGTACACATTCTACTTCCCTTCCAGTCCTTCCAGCTTGATGTTTGTATTGTGTGGGGCTGCAGCCCTTAGCATGGGTCACTGTGCACGTGAGGAACAATGGGAGATCCAGAGAAGCGCACCTCAAGAGTATTTGGGTGGGAGGTCTCATTTCACAGGGCCCCTGCACTAATTCTTGTGTGAGTCTGTGGTGCTGAAATGGCAGGTGAGTGGCTCTCTGCACCCTTCAGAGGTGCCAGGGAGACAGGAGCAGAGCAAGACAGTGCCCACCCCTTCTGCCAGGGGGCTCTGGTGACTTAAGAGAGACAAGCCTGAGGGCTGGAAAACCTAAATTCCCAGCATTTTTTGACCTCTTGGTGGCTCTGGCCATGTCAACTCTCGTAAGCCTGAAAATCTCCATTTGTGAACTGTCCACTTCTCCACTGACTTAGACCCTGAAGCAGATCCTTTAAGATGCTTAGTTGTTTGTGGTGTCTCAACAGGTGAAATGCAAGGGAAGGGCCATGTGAAAGAGGAGTGTACAGCCTCCCCACATATGGGGGAGAATTTTGTGACCACTTTGTTCTATTATACACTGGAGCTGCAGAATGTAGACACGTCTAACAATGTTCCAGTAATAGCCTAAAAGTCTACCATGGCTGTGGCTATTTCTAATCTTCTAATGAAATTTTATTTTTTCTTAGTCTTGACAAAAGTTCATAAAAGATTTATTTTGCTTTCATAAAAATTTTTTAAAAGCATTATTTTAGCTGGGCATGGTGGTGTACCTTTGTAACCCCAATACTTAGGGAGCTGAGGGAGGCAGCAGTTTTAAGTCCAGCATGAACTAACTATAAAATGAAACTCTGCCTCAAAACACCAACCAACCAAACCAAACCAAAGTAAAAGGTGTGTTTCATAATTGCTCTCCATGGCCTGCCTTGCAAGCGCAAGGACCCGAGTTCAATCCCTGGTACCAAAAAGAAAAAAACGAAACAAAAATATAATTGCTCTCCAGATTTTTAACTGCTTAGGTTTATTTTCAATCTTTTTCTTAAAATTAAAAGCCAAGATATTTTTCTTAGAGAATAGTTCTGTCAGCGTCTCACTGCCATTCACTTTCCTACATAAATCTGCCGTTCTAATTTTGACTCAATTTAAAACACATTAGGAAAAGTATTTTAGCTGGGCATTTAGCTCAGTGGTGCCACCACCTGCCTCAAGGTCCTGAGTTTTATCCCCAGCACCTCCCAAAAAAGGAAAAGGAAAAGTATTTTAAATTTCCAATAGTGAGGTTTCTCTTGAATAGCATTCTACTGAACTTCGGTGGGAATGCATCCTATACATCTACTTTTGAGAAGTGATAATGTCCTCAACTGACTTCTGTAATCTTCAGAAGGGAACATGCCTGAGGATGCACCGTCCTCTCTCTCACCCTGGGCCCATGGGTCAACCCTGCTGCAGTGAGGTGCTCTGCTGAGGGCTTCCCCTGCTGCCCAGACAAACTTACTGTGGCTTACTACCCCTCTCCATACGGAAGCTGAGGTGCTGAGAGTGGAGGTAACCTGCCTAGGTGAAAAGGAACGTAAGCAGCGTGACTGACCGAGGAGTGCAGCTGGCCTCCAGGCCATGTCTTCCCTGGGCTGATGCACCTCACAGGGAGGAGTGCAGCTCTGCTCCTGGCATAAGAAGTGCCCGGCACAGGGCCATGCCGAAGGCCAAAGAGCAGACACTTCCTTCCCGACTCCCCCAACAGTTTCTTCTACTTCACAATTTTTCTGTTTGGTGTTGCTCTACCATTGTTCTCTCCTCCAGCGTGTCCTTGTTTTAGGCACCCCTTATAAACAACATACTGTAGTACTGCCACTTTATGTTCCCCACTTTAGCTTTTAGTAAGAAGTGCCTCACATTTGTTTCAACTTTGTTTCTTTTCCCCACTTTATTTTCTCTGGGTTCTACTGTTTTAGCGCTCTCAGGGCCACAGAGGGCCCACCTCATCTCTGTGGCCCTGAATTTTCTCTGTTCTCTTCATTCTTCTGGGCAAAGGCTTAGAAGTAAATTCAATTTTAGATTTTAAAATTCTATTTCTATACTACTAGTTAACTTTTAAACAAGTCATTTTGAAATTACCGTTCACTAAATGTCAGGCACTAAAATTTGCCTCCTACCATTTGCCTTGCTAGACGCCAGAATTTGAATAATTCACCCTGAAGCCCAATCCCCACAGGGAAGTGTCACAAGGCAGGGCCTTCCGGGGGCACTGATGCTCTTACACAGCAGCGTGCAGGTGGCAAGCAAGCTCCCGTCACACAGGGAGAAGCGGCCCCCTGAAACCAGTGAACTCTCTCACTAGACCCTAAATTTCCCAGGGTCTTCATCTTGGATTTTCCAACACCCAGAACCAAGTAGCATAAATTTCTATTGTTTATAAGCCATTTGGCTTATACCTACAGCAGGCTGGTCAGACAGGATACTACTGGCATACTTTTAGCTGTAAGTTAACCTATTAAGTTTTGCAAGAATCGCTTGGAATTTAAAGAACTTGGCCAGGAAAATAATTCTACAGTTGTATTTTTTTCCTGCTCAGGATTTGGGATTTCTTTCCATCTCTTCTCCTTAATGTTTGTCTATTATTTCATTATGGTACCTCACTTCTCGTCTATACAGACTTTTCTTCTAAATTATTAGTCAAACACTGAACTTTCCAATGCAATTTTCCATAACTTTGATTTCTTTGCCACTTTGCAGAGATGAATACAAATCTGGATTCCCAAGTCCCTATGCAGGGTCCTCTGTAATGTGTGTTTTTCTTGTGTGCATATTGAGTTTTAGAAGTACTTGTTTTGACTGCACATGGTGGCACACACCTGTAATCCAAGTACTCAGGAGGCTGAAGCAGAAGGATCGCCACTTGTGTGCGAGGACAGCCTGAGTACATAGCGATACTCTGTCTCAAAAAACCAAAACATTAAAGATGAAATAAAAAGCATTTGCTTCTGAAAATTCTTGCGCTTCCCGTGGTCTTTGGTCCACAGTGCTTGTCTACGGGTGCCACCCTCTCAGGTACTTCTGTGCGCTCACGTTAGGCTCTGCTTAAGAACTCTTTCTGGTGGTTGACTGAACTGCTCACAGGGACAGTGTCCTCTGTGGGTCTGGCTGAGGGTTACTGTCAGTTTCCTGCTGGCTTGCAGGCATCCACTTCTACCAGCACCTGGGGGCTTGGCTGGCTCCCTCTGGTGAAGAAGGCATCCCCAGCATGCCCACCAATGAGGACCAGGCGGGCCCTATCCTACAGGATACCTCTGGCCCTGGTGGTGGCAGGAAGAAACAACCTGACATCCCTCAGTCAGAGAGGTCCCTAGGGTGACACAGGTGACAGGCACTGCTCGCGAATCACTGCGGAAGGACCAGTACAGCGTGTGTAGAGGGGCAAGGTCGTCTGAGTGGTTTTAGCTTCCTTCCCAGCCTGCTGTGATGGGGCTGCTCAGCTTCTTCTCTGCCTCAGAACCCTCAGGAGGTGCCTGTGGCGCTGACCAGCTGCCCACTCTCCTGCCAGGGGGCCACGACTCCTCGGCCTTACCCCCAGCCCCAGGCTGCCCAGCTGTGAGGCTCCAAGCACTGCAGGGACACACCTGCAAGGGGCTCTTTTGGTCTTCTCAGGTTAATGCTCATTTGCTGACTCGTTCCTTCCTGACCTCTCCTTCCCTCATTCCCACTCTCTGTAGTATCTGGCATTGATCCCACAGCCTCTGCACTAAATGAAATCCTCAGCCCTCTTTCATTTTAAAACAGGGTCCTTCTAAGTTGCTGAGTTGCCTAGACTGGGCTTAAACTTTGAGATGCTTCTGACTCGGCCTCCCAGAGTGCTGAAATCACAGACATGTGCCACCAGGCCTGTCTCTGATTTGTTTCTATGACAGTACAAAGCCATGTACATTCCCCAGAAACAGCTCCAGTTTGGTTTGACTGAGGAGACCTTTCCCTCATGTCCTCCTGTGGAGACCTTCTCCAGCCATCACCTTGAATGGAGGCCTCTAGAAACCAGGTGTAAGCCAAAAAAAAAGAAAGACAACAGAGTGAGGCGAGAAGTGTTCTGTCCTCCAGGGCAACGAACTCCCCCTGTAATCAGACTGGATGTGAAGAGAACATGCAGGGCACGTGCACTGATGGGCTCCCAGGCCCACGCTGCAGCGAGGTTGCTTTGGAAGCCCTCCCTGCATGCCCACCTTGGAGAGAGGAATGAGGAAGTCCAGCTTGTATGAGAGGATGACTCTGGTGAGTAGCACCACGAACACCACATAGGCGGAGTTCTCAAAGTCGGTCAGCTGCACCTGCAGGCAAGCCCAGAAAGATCAGTCAGGGAGCAGCTCACAGACTCGCTGTCCTCCCCATCCCTCCCACGGGGCACCATCCTGAACCACTTACTCCTTCCAATTGGGGCTGGAGCCCCTGCCCACATTTCTGTTTAGAACGGGTGCACTGGATCTCGCCTGCCTCATAAAAAACCCAAGAGCCTTCTGACGAGAGCACCAGAAGGTGATGAGTGGCTGGGAGCATGAAAGCCTCACCTCCATGGGGCGGAATTCCACTCTCCAGCCAATGTCGGAGTGAGGGGGCGGGGGCTTAAATCGCATTGTCTGCCAATTTGTGGACTGAATATTCTAGAATACAAGACAGCAGAGGATGAAAGCATCTCTTCACACATTCAGGAAAATATTACAATGATGTGGTGTTTAATTAGGGAAGACTGCTGTAATGTAAGATGTTCTCAAGTGTGACATATTAGGAAAACAAGACATTGACAGTAAATGTCCAATCAGAGTCAGGTGTTATCTACAGCACTGAAATGTACAGTATAGGTTTGAATTTTCCATCATTAAGCAAATGAGAAAAACTTAACACAGAAATGTAGAACTGAAAAAACAACTGGTAAGAATTAAATAAGGGTACTTCAGCTGGGGATTTAGCTCAGTGGTTCCACTGCCTGCCTTGCAAGCACAAGGACCTGAGTTCGATCTCCGGTATCCCCCCAAAAAAGGGGTACTTCAAATCCATTTTTAACTTTTTTCTTTTTCTTTTTTCCCCTTTGGTACCAGGGATCGAACTCAGGACACTGCACTTGCCAGGCAGGTGTGGCGCCACTGAACCCTGGCCCAATTTTTTATTGCTCTTAGTTCTTTACTACTGTAAGAAATGAGAGACGTGTGAGACTTCTATTGTCACCAATTCCTCATAGGTACAGAAAATTGTCTCTTGATTTGTGCAGTGGAACTCATGTAAAAGTGAGGTGATACCTCGAAATGGTCAGACTCGTTGGCATCATCCAGGTCGATTTTCTCCTTGAACAGGGTCAGGGGGTCTCTGATGAAGAGATGAGCAACGTGCTGGGCCAGTAGATGATCGATGCCTGCAAAGACAGAGCACATGGGCCCCTGCCCAGCCCCCCACACCACTCTCCAAGTCCAGGCTGAAGCAAGGGCACCTGGAAGCTTAGGAGTCTGCAATGCAGTGACCAGCTCGCCTAGGACTTGATTCTCTGGATCAGGGGGAGTCAGAGTCTCACTCTCTACTTACACAGTGCCCGCTAAACACTGGTGTGGACCTAGACAGAGCTCCAAAGAAAAGTGCCTTCTGCTAAAACTCAAAAAGATCTCACAAGTATTTCAAACTTGGGCTTTAGGAACCAGCAGCCTCATGAGAAAAGTCACAGACTAAAAACAGAAACCCAACTGGGAATCGGAAAACGATAAAGAGTGCTTTCAAGAACAAAAGGTGTAAGGCTGGGGATTTAGCTCAGTGGGGCCTCCACCTGCCTCATGCAAGGTCCCAAGTTTGATCCCCCGTACCAAAAAGAACAAAAGGTGTAAAGTCAAACCCAGAAATACTGCAGGGCTGCTCACCGTTCTGTACCAGCTGCTCATAGATTCCTTTATCTATGGTCAGGTCGATGTCATTGTATTTCTCACCACACTTAGATAAGTAGCTGTCTATCGAGTCATATCGGGACTTACTGATCCGATAGTTATTGTTCTTCAGTGGCTAAAACACAAAAAATAAGAATCAATGCCACACTGGTTGGAAATTAATACCCCAAGTCATATACAACTTTTTTTTAAAGAATGTATTTCTAGACAACATGTTTAAGAAGTTGTGAATAATTGCACAAAGACCAGAGTGGAAACCAGGCGGTGTGGCATACTCCCATAATCTTAGCACTCTGGGAAGCTGAGGCAGGAAGATCACAACTTTGAGCCCAGCCTAGGTGCCTTAGTAAGACCCTGTCTCAAAATGGATTAATTAACTAACTAATTTAAGTGTGTGTGGGGGGATATAGCTCAGCATGAAGGCCCTGGTTCAGTCAGTTTAATAGCCCTAGCTGAAAACATCAGATTTTGCGGGGGCGGTACTGGGGATAGCACTTGGAACCTTGTGCTTGTAAGGCAGGTGGCAGCACCACTGAGCTAAATCCCAGGCCCAAAATATCAGAATTTTTGTGCACAACTCCTTTAAAAACATCCAGTCAGGTCCCAGCTACAAAGATTCTCAGTCACAAGCCTAGGAGGGGTTGGGCTGCTCATTTAAAACCTCTCCATAGGTAAGGTGGTGCACACTGCTGTCTGGAGGGACTCAGTGCTAGAGGGGAGTGGGCTGAGCCACCCTCAGCGGTCAAAACCTTGTTTTCTCTGGAGGCCACCTGTGAGGACAGGGTGCACCCACAGCAGAGTGTCTTACACAAGGTGCTCCTGTGGGGCCCAGAAGCCTTCAGCACGGACTCCACAACACAGAAACCTGTGCTATTATTTTAAAAGATGCTAAAATAAACACAGATTTCATCAAATGATGAAAACTATTCCCTACCCAAACCAAATCACCTTCCCACAATAAAATACTCACCCCACAACAAAGACTGTTTATATCCCATGTGCTTTTTCCACATGTGACCAAGCAACTCAAGGTGGACAGTGAGGGGAGATGTCAAGGATGCAAATTGGTCCCACAGCCCCATTTACCCCATTACCACGGTCTAAAGGACTATTAAGGAAAATCACCCTACCTCCAGTCCTCTCTCTTCCCGAGTCCTGTCGTCCACTGATGCAGAGATCACTCCCCAGCGACAATCGATGTCTGACACGTAGCCTCGGTAAAAAGGAGACGCAGCACTCAGAGCCATCTGCAAACAAACACAAGTCAGCTCCTGCGGTTCAGAGCACCACTTACATGTCGAAGAAAGCATGTGTGCATCTGGTCAGGAACCATTTTATGCGACCCATACAGATTACACCACACCTAGAAATATCCCAAATCCGTGGACTTGACCTGTTTAGCCCATTTTCTCTACAACATGAGGACAACATTCAAGAAGGACAAGGGCCACACACACACACCTGACATGTGTTTAACACACACGTGCTTCACTAGCAACAGTTAGGGGTCTACAGCTTAGACTTTTGATTCATCAGCCCTTTATCGGCATGTTATTTACATCACTCACTGCTATAAGAAGTCTTAACTGGACTGAAACAGCACACTGCTAGCAAACTGCACATGTGATCATTTATACAAAGACATATTTAAAGTAAAATGTAATTTCTACTTACAACAATTGGACAGATAGTGGCCAGTTGATCGTAAAGGTAACTGGCCTCAGATATGCTGCAGGCTTGGAATGTCACCTGTTTAAGAATGCAAGACGTTAACACCAACAAAGACTCACCAGCGTCCTCCATAGGCAGTGAAGTCTGAGAATGAAGGTGGCTGGGGGAGGGGGTGGTGATGTCACCCCTAACATCAGTGCTACCTGTAATCCAGAATCCTGCTTAAAAGCTGTCGTGGGTGAATTTAACGAGAAAGCAGAATTTTAAACACATTCTATGACACATGGACACCTCTTTAAGTAACTATGTCCCTAGGTGAAATAGGACACACACAACATGGTGAAGTTGATGAGGCATTTCCTCTTCTACTAGCTGTTTTTCTCCTGCAGCTTCTCATCACTTCAGTGAGCTGAGGGCTTATTTAAGTTTTGGTGGCACAGGCCTATAATACCAGCACTTGGGGGGCAGAAGAGTTTGAGGCCAGCCAGACTATATAGTGGTTTGAAGGCCAACTTGAACTACATAGCAAGACCCTGTCTCAAACAAACAAAAATAGTAGAAAGTGATTTGGATCTATCTGTACAAATGGGGAGCAGCTGGGAAGAGAGCAGACTAACAAGAAAGAAAAGCAGTACAAACACGCAGCTAAGGCGAGCAGGAGGTGGCGTGCAGGACAGAGTGAGGAATGACTTGGGTCTGGCCCAGGTGTTCCTGGGACACACAGGAAGAGGTTAGAAAGCAGAAGCTGCAACCCAGCAAGCTGTGAATCCAGAGGGACAGACAAGAGGCCCCCCAGGAGTGGCTGGGTCTCCATCACTGTAAGTGGAGGAAAAACCTGAGCTGGCAAACATCTGGGGATTAGGCCTAGAAGATGGGGGAGATGTGAAGGTGGGAAGACCGCATAAGACAGCAGGCAAGGAGAGAAAGAGTCCTCTAAAATATCCAAAAGAAACCAGACAAGTCCTGCCACCTTCCATGGGGAAGGGTAGAAATGGTGGTGGTGGAAGGAAGAAGGAACACAAATCGTGTTTCTATTTCTGTCCTAACTGCAAGTTGCAAAGTTTTAATTTCCTCTATTACTGTCACTCAGTAATGAGCATTTACATATAGTGTTGGTGCAAAAAATAATGGACATGCTCAGCAAGCACATGCACAGAACATGTAAAACTCTGGGTTCACTCTCCAGTGTGGCAAAAATCTTTTTCTGTAACAGCTGAATGAGCATGTTTATTGTTAACCATCTCATCTGGTTTGCCCTATAAAAAAGACAACTTCTGCGAGACTCACAAGTACACCTGTGACAATGAAAGTGCAGCTCATGTCCATGTGGCGACTACAGAAAACGATTATTTGAACAATCTAACATCCTGGCTTTCCCATAATTTCCATATTAATGCTTAATCTGGCCCTGTACTTTGAGTAAAAGGTAATAATTAACTAGCTATTACTGATTAATTCAACATGGAGAAGAGTCACACACATCAAGGAAAAAAGTCTCAAAGGTTACAAATTTAAGGAGGACTGGTGGTTAGGTCACTGATAACCAAAGCAAGGGCAGCATTTACAGAGAATGAGAACTTGGAAATCAATTTGTGTGAGGTAAGGAAATGGGGATGGCCTCACAGCTCTTTAGTGCTTAACAAATATTTATTAATAGAGTATCCCAAGGGAAAGGGCATGACAATGCAGAGAATACAAAGATGTGTCGAGATACTTGAAAATGACCACTTTTATAAGGATGAGATTTAAAACACCTAATACTTCCCATGTGATGTCTAATGAACTCCACTGATCACGTATCTCTTAGTTTATTTATGCCCCTTTTGTGATTCTGGGGTATTTTAGTGTCACTTTTTTTATTTCAAAGATACTACAATAAATATTTTTCCTTTCCTGTATTTTGCTGGCTTTTCTTAGCTGGCCTAGGACACACAAAGCAATTTATAAGCAAATCTTGGAAAAACCAATGTTAGGAAAGTTTACTTAAGAAAATCAGCAAGTGCAATCTGATATTTAGTAACCATCTGGCTTACCCTAGAGCATCCACCAAAAACAAAACAAAACAAAACAAAACAGGGTATCAGTGTGGATAATGGCTTTAATGCAGACAGGAAAAGAGATCTCACACCTTCCTTCATAAGAGACAAACAAAGAGATGTGGTTCCTGTGTTCTTTAAAAGCATTACACAAAGAAGTCACCATTTCACTAGGATGGAGGAGAGCTTTGAAAAGTAGATGTGAATCTAAAGCTGCCCGAGCTTCCAGTTTTGAAGTCACACAATTATCCCCAGCAGAAATAAACTACTCTAATAGCTCATGAACTTACTAACTGGTTTCTGAGAAGCTCAAAAAGAACTAAGAATCTGAATGTGACTAAAATGCTTTTGTGTTTTGTACAGGAATTATTTTAAAAATTACTTCAAAATTCTTTTCCTACTTTATAGTAATAGCAATTCCTACTGTCTCACAGAGATACAAAGCAGAAGTTTCTGAGATTACCTGCAGAATTCATCTCATTTGCCACACATTTTAAATGTAAAATCTGTGTTACTGATTTTTAAAAGTGTTGAGACTGGATACGTATCACTGGGGGAAAAAATGTTAAACCCATCATAAAGGCTTACATTGTTGCACTACTAAAATGTTTATTCCTACAATTATTAAGACAAGTTTATTTTCCAAAATGTGTTTCAAGAGAAAGAATGCTCCTTTGGAACTAACTACCTTAGAGCAATTGTGCTGTTCTTGGCAAAACATGCTGGCTTATTATTAAATCAAGAGAAGACACTGGGCACTCTGATAGCACTTAAAACATAATTCTGAAGCCAGGTACTTTCAGTGCTAGAGTTTAATGGCTCACTTTAGACATCTTCGTAATTAAGACAGGACAGCAGATACACTGTTAAAAGTCAAAGGATCTCTTTATAAACTAAGTGTGCTCATTTGTAAGGAAACTTATTGGCCTCTATTTTGAAGTCGCATATTTTATACTGCCTACATATGTCAAGAAAACCTAGGAAAAAAACATGCTTGGCCATATTATTTGAACATACTTGGCATGGAAAAATCTGACCTTGGCATTCGATTTGGGTTATACACCACTTCAAAAACAAACAGGATGGAAATCTATGTGCAAGAAGATGCATGTATCTGCTGCAGCTGTCGGAGAGAAGAACGCTAGCAGTTTTGGGCCCTGTTGAGAGCCACAGGGGTGAAGCCAGGTTTCCTGGGCTCTGGGCCCCAGGGACTCTGTTTCCAATCAGCTGAAGCAATTACAACTGAAGAAAATCTTGGACAATAAACAGCCTCTCTTTTTAAATTTGAAATTCTTAATTGGAAAATTTATATTTTGGTTAACTTCTCCTGTTATATCACAACCTTAAACAACTTAGAGGTTAAGTATGTGTTAATAAATGAAATAAGTTAGCTTACAGTCAAGACCCAGGAGGATCCAATAGAAGCCTTTCTTTTAACTGGAAACTGAGAAAACTAAGCCAAAAGAAGTGAAAGGCATTAATTACCCAAGCATGGGAGCAGACAGACCAACACACACAGGCTTCCTACATGGAGGCCTCTGCTCTGCTCTCCTGCTCAGTCAGCGGGTGATTGGTGCAAACCCCCTCAGGGACGCTGGGATCCAGGAAAAAGAGTAAGGGTGTTCACAGGCAAGCACGACTTTACTTCCTTTTTTTTCCTGTTTTTCTTCCTTTTTTTTTTTCTTTCCTTGGACCAGGGATTGAACTTAGGACCTCGTGCTTGTGAGGGCAGGCGCAGTACCACTGGTATAACATAGTCAGGGAAGAGGCAAACTTGGGCTCCTAAATATTTATTCTTTTATGCCACTAGATGGCTTTGCACTATTACAGAAATATAAAGTCCAAACAATCTTTCCCCTGGATCAGCAAATCACTGGAGTGCTTCCACCACAGCTCAATTTCAGCAAGTGTTTTGTTAAACTACCATTAGATGGCAGTACAAACCAGGCAGAAAGTGGCCAAGGATGGCTCCGCTTTTTGATAATTAACAACTGTATACCTTTGTGGTGAACTTGAGACAGTTTCAAATGAATATTACTAAAGTAATTTTTTGGGTTTTTTTTTTTGTTTGTTTTTTTTTTTTTTGGTACCGGAGGATCAAACTCGGGATCCTTGCGCTTTAAAATAATTTTTGTTTTTAGAAAGGCATAGCAACTACCATTTCAATCTCATCAAATGGTTTTTGAAATAGGAAACATGACATATAAAGAAAAAAGTTAAGCAGAAATAGATAAGGTCATTTTACCCTGTGCATTTCAAACAGTACCTGAAGGCAGCAGTTGCCCATCCCGAATCCCATGGCATCCATGTAAATGTGATCTGGCTTGGAAGCCCTGGCTGCCTCCTCATCCTCAGGAAATGTTTCTATGAAGGGAGATGGTGTGTTCTTGTCCTTAAATACTGTATTAGTTGTGAAGAAAAGGAAATAGTGAGCTGGGGTTAACAACAGTGCAGCAGCTGTGTCTTGCCAACCTCCACGCTGCGGACTCACTTGGTACGTTGATGACGACCTTCTCCCCTCTCCTGTGCCGGATATTCCTTGTTAGGGTACTGGAAGAGAACCAAACACATCAACTGGGTGCCTGCGAGCCACCGTGTAATGGGATGTGAGGCCACACAGTTTCATAATGGAATGAGCCTTACCTCACAGTAAGTAACACCCTTCCAGAGAACACGCTATGCCCAGGTGAAAGTGAGCTTTGGGGAGATGGCCCGCTGCTCCAGCCTTCCCCGGGCTCCCACTTGAGAACACCATTCCCTCTGCTGCTCACTACCTGTGCCTCCCTGCTCCCTGCTCCTTAACACGTCCGGGTACTTTTCTAACAGTTCCCACTTTATTTCCAAAGATTTGGTCACATTTAAGTACTCATTTTCCCGGGCAGCTCTGAAGTCCCAGTGCCTCCCTTCTCCCTCCCCAATCTGTGCTGGCCAATTCAGAAGCTCCGGGGTACACTGTGTTGTGGACTGGAAATGGGACTGGCTCTGATTCACTCATGGCGCGAGAGTAATACATACCAGACTTAGAAAACTTGGTATAAAAAGTAAAAAATTATTCAGTATTTTATAAAATGCTGAAATAACACTTTGGATATATATCAAGTAGGATAAAATTCAGTTCCTCTGTTTTTTAACATCATACTAGAAAATTAACCGTGGTATTTGTGATTCCCATTGTGCTTCCAGTGGTTAGTGCTGTGATTAGGCCTCCTCTTCTACAGAGCACTTGAAGCACTCATGGTACAAAGCCAAGGTCTGGCTGGTTGGGGCCTTGAAGCAATTTAAAGTATAATGAAACTACACACAAATAGGCCTAGAAGCCAACATAAGGAAGAGAGTACTACCATCTCTACAGCAGTGATGTCCATCTTTTGCTACTGTCATAGTACACAGGATGAGACGAGGTCAGAGATCGGTATGATTTAGGAGTAACTGAGAGAACGCTTCCCAAAACTGGTGTTCACAGAACTTAGGGCTGTGACACATCTGCTAGGTAAGGAGGACAATGCCTAAGCTAGTTGACTTTAAAAATGACTTGGAGGGCAGGGGATTTGGCTCAGTGGTTCCCCTGCCAGCCTTGCAAGCCCCAGTACCAAAAAAAAAAAAAAGTAAAGAGACTGGGAAGTGGACAGATCAAGCCTGGCTGCAAGAAGCCAGTCAGAGGGCCTAGCGCTTGTGAGGATGTGACTGGGTGTGTGTCTCCTGTCTCCTATGTTGAGTTAGAAAGGAGCCTGAAGGCAGTACATGCTCAGAAAGCATCTCCAAGACAGAACATCAGCTGGGAAAGTGGGTGTGCAAGGGTACTGCAGCAGAGAGCTGGACTCACCTGAAGCGGGGGTGCTTGTTTATTGCTTCATCTGGAAAGAAGAGGGACTTTGATGCTCCTCCTTCGACTGGGTTGGGTTTACACACGGGCAGTGTGAACCCAGGACAGCCTAATCTACAACAAATTGAAGAACTTAACAGATGGGGCGCGTATTCAGGAGTCCACTGCCTCATTGTGCCATGTGTCAAAACACCTCATTTGTACTACTTGGATCCCCCTCTGCCTTGAAGTACTGGCCCTTCCTTCCCAAGCCCTGCCTCGCACTTCACTATCCGGCACCAGCACCTGTTGTGCCATTCACTCCCCATCTACAGAGCATGCATGTGCTCAGGCCCTCCCGAGAGAGTGACGGCAGGCAATGGCCTTTGGTCAGCTAACTACATGGGACACAGCTTCTGAGGTGTCCTCCTTCACTAGTTATAAACTCAGACCATCTTCCTTCTGACCCTTGATCACAACTGCCCAGACCTGGCAGGCTTCTTCTGAATCTGCGCAGGGTCTCTTCAGGTTCTGCCACAGTTAGGCAAGGTCTCTGTTGTTCTTCTCAGGTCTGAAACCTCCGCTGCTGTCTTAACTTCAAGCACAACTCTAATCCCAACACAGAAAAATGCAGCTCCTTATTTGTCCCCAGGTCTCAAGCTTACATTCTCCTTCCCTTGCACTGAGCCCAATGGCGCTTCCCAGTTCAGAACATGAGGGCAGCGCTAAAAGTGCTGTGAGGGAGGACAAAGCCTAACGATCAGAGGAAGAAGCCAAGGAAGGCACACGTCAGGGTTTAGGTGGACAGAAGGGAACTGCTGGCTTGTGGGCCAAGACCAGACTTTGCCTTATCTTTTTTTTTTCCTTTTCCCTCTTTTTTTTAATCTTTATTAAATTTATTGGTATATATTAGGTATACACAGTTATATTCTCATTGGGATCTTGTACCTTTATATAACTTATCAGGTTCTTATTTTTCCCCATTCCTCAGCCCTTCCTTCCCTCAGCCCTTCCTTCCCTCAGCCCTTCCACCTTTCCCTGTTTACAAAGACATCGTTTCTGTGTTTGTCCTTTTCACAAATTATTTCTTTTCCCTCTCTACCTTTCCCCTTATCTTTATAAAACAAAAAGCCCACAGCTGCCCACTTGTACTCGGCAAACTGGAGGTGCTGATCTTACCCAGAAAACTTCTCTGCCATGTGGGTGCCAGAGAAAACTCTTGCAGCTGTGTATCATCTACTAACTGACTACAAGCCACACACTTAGGAAATGTCTTTTAGGGGGTGCAGCAAATGTAAACTTGGGAGATTGTTCAACCAGTCAGGCTGGACAGAGAGGATGAGAATGTGCTCGTGCGGCACTGAGAAGAAGCCAAGAGTGGCTCTTCAGACTGGCAGCCCTGCTCTCCCAGACAGTGCAGTCCAACAGCGATGGAAACATTGAATCTCTGTGTGGCCAAACCAGTCTAGCAGCCAATAGCCAAATGCAGCTGCCAGACACGCGGGAGGTTCGTTTTATGTGAGGTTAATTCAAGCAGCCACATGAACGTTGCTCTGGACTCTAGTTCTCTCCAGAGCTCTAACACTTCAGAGAGACAGGCACATGTTTATAATTAAACAGAGCACTCCCTTCTCTCCTGACCCCATAGCACAATAAAATGTCATCATTTAGTGCAGTGGTATTGTAACGGGAAATTTCTAAGAACTAAATCACTAATAATTATTCTTATTTTGTTTACAAGTCCAAAAGTACCCTCCCATCCTAATACATATGGCTAGGCACAGTAAATAAATAAATAAAAAGCCCTGACTCAACTTTCCCTTCCTAGTGACTTAAAAGAGCTTCAACATTTTTAACAGGACAACCACATATTCATACACAGCCATTCTCAGAATTAAGGTATGAGACATGGTACGGTTTAACCAAATACTGTATTTTGTTACCCAGAAACAAAATCTACCACCTATCAGTACTACATATTCTCGAATTTAAAAATATAAGACAGCTCTAGTTTATGTTCCCTTTTTAATGTGCTGTGTAAAATGTAAGCCCTCTACAATGTTAAAGGAGAAAAAAGGAAAAGATGACACTGAATTCTCAAGCCACTAAAAGCTGTCCAGTAATGAGGAGGTCTGCTCGTGGCTGTTACTAGCACTCCAAGGCACACGGCAACGACCTGCACCACAGCCCCGACGCCTGCTCTGCACCTTCTGCATTCCCCAGCTCTAGTCTACCCTCAGCCAGGCAACCATGTGCCTGCCTCCCATTTATAGCTGTTTAAGCCACAAGCCCACACCAGGGCTACAGACCAAAAACGTGACTCTGTGCACTTATCCCAACATTTTTAGGGCTTTTCCATCCTGATCTGGCCTGCTGCCTGCCTGGCACACTGGCACCTCACACCCTGCCTCCTGTCTGTACCAGCTAACTAATGGCTCTCTTCCAGGGCCAAGCAGGTGCGTCTCGCCTGCTCACCGAGGGCTGCCGCACATGCCTCTCTCCCTAGGACATCCCTCTGCTTCAGCTAAGACACACTGGTAATAGGAACTTTCATAGCTTGGAGCTCACTCACAAGTCCTCAAAGTCTCATGCATCTGGAAAGTGGTTGACTGAGGGGTGATGTACACTTCAGGGGGTTCACCTACTGACAAGCTCTGTAGGAGGTGCTCACTGGGGCATGACCTGGACTTGCCCCCAGCTCTGCCCTTCTCCCTGGCTTCCTGGCAGCCCGGGGTTGAGCAGCTGGCCTCCCCCTGCCCATCTACCTGTACTTCTTCTGTCTTGGCCTGAATTTACCGGAAACCGTAAGCCAAAAAGACCACTCCTGCTTTAAGTACCAGGTGTCAGGTATTTTCTCCCATTGTGAGAAAGTAACTGATGACAGGGACTAACCTGGGAAATGAAGTTATTGTGCAAAGGGCCTGGTTTTCTCCTAATATCGAAGCAGCCTCCTGGCGGCGCTTCCTCATGTTGTCCTCCACTGTGTTGAACTCGGACATTGTCCCTCCATAGGGCTGTCCAGGGGTCCCTTCGATCATGTAACTCCCATACTCTGGTCTCCAGAGGGTAGGATGGCTACAGGGAGAAAGGTTTGTTTTAATCGTGGTCTTTTGCTGCCGTCTACCTGAATTTTAGAAGTTTGAAAAATTGCTTTAAAAAACTGAACACTACACAAAGCTAAAAACTTAATACGGCTCTTCACTTTCACAGCTCTTCCATTAAGAAACAAAAAACCTATTTGTAAGTCACTCGCTGCCTGGGACAAAGCTAGCGAGCGCATGCTGCAAGAAAGGAGTGAGTGGTCCTTGGCGGGGTCAGCCAGGGCAGCTTCGCAAGCTCGTGGGAGCAAGATAACCACAGCACAATGCCACTACCCTGCGTGTTCCCAGATGCTGTTAAAACATCACGCCAACCAAACAAAGCTCACCTCCAAGTGTTTTAGCTGGCAGCATGGCATATGACCTCCATTGTTTTGGCAATTTTTAAAAAAGTTTAGTCATAGTAAACAGGCTTTATGTTTCGCTTACTGCGTTGTTTCAACATATTAATGTATTCAATCTCAACACTGTAGAGGCAAGTATCAATATTACTTCCGTAGAGACGAGGAAACGGAGTCACAGAGAGGTTTAAGGCTACTCATCTACCGAGTAGAGGAACCAGTATTTGAAACTGACTCCACGTGGAGCAAGAGCTCACACTCCTAAGCTATACCACCAAAGATTCTGTCTCAGCGGGGCCAAAAGTCCTGGAAACACTGGATCAAGTTCCCAGTACAGCAGCAGCTTACTTTGGATTTGTCCTTTCTCCCTTCTCTTGTAGAGTTTCAAGAACATCTTCTCCATTCAGGACCAACTGGACTTTCTTATTTTCATGATCAAAAGATACCAACATGTATTCCACCTATGGAAAATAATAAAGGAGAGATTAACACTTTTCCAGATCCGAGCTCAGTGTGGCCTTTAGAGATAAAGTCAGGGAAACACAGATGTCACATCTGCTCACACGTCTGCACACAGGAGGGTGTGTTTGCACACCATGGGGACCTGCAGAGGTGGCCATCCAGTGGCCCTGTTTATGGACAAAAACACATTCTCCAATCCCTTGCTCCTGTTCACTCAATGTCCTACAGAAAGGTCAAGATGTCCACTGTGACAAGTTCTACTCAAGAGAGACAAATCTCAAAGCTAAGGTTCTATGCACAACAGTTGTAAACAAGATGCATTTTAAAATTTCCTCATTCAGTTTATCATAGTTAATAAGGAAAGTGGTTTTCTGGATGTTCCAGTTAAAGATTATACTTGCTGGCAGATTCTTTAATAATCATGCTTGCTACAAAAGTCCTACTTTAGTGTTTGTTTTTTTTGAAACATGGTCTTGCTGTGCAGTTCAGGCTGGCTCTGAACTCACTATGTAGCCCAGACTGGCTGCAAATCCGCAGCAGTCCTCCTGCCTCAGCCTCCCAAGTGCTGGAATTACAGCAGTGTGCCACCATGCCTGAGAAATGTCCTATTTTTGGAGAGTTAAACCATGCTTATAAACACAACTGTGTGGAAAAGTTCTTTTGTGGGTTCCTACAATTCAGTTTTGGCATATCACAAATAATTTAATATACTTCCTCCCACTGAAAAAGTAAAAATTTATGATGCGGGGCATATTAGTGCATTTACAATGATACCTGTTGGAATTTTGATAAAAATAGAGAGCTAACTACCAATGTAAGTCCTTTCTGGGCAGAGCACAACTAGAACTTGTGTTTTGTTTTCCCTGCTATTGTGTGCTTTAAATCGTGCTGGTTAGTATGAATAGACAGGATTATGAGTCAGTATGCATACTGAAGTGGAAAGGTATGGAACTGGATTATTCAAGCAAATACCTGAAAGTACTTTGTATAAGGCACCATGACAATGACCATTAGAGAAGACATCCTGACATCTCATCTGGTTTACAACACTTAAAAAGGGGGGGCAGGCAACAGTACTCCCCCTATTTTCCTGACAGTTCACATGGAAACACAGATTCTCAGTTTTATAATGTGATAAGAGAGGGACTGGCCTGCAGCTAAGAATTGGGGGTAGGGGGGTTTCTGGTAACCACAGAAAACAGTGGGGCAGATCTAAACGACAGCAAAAAATAAGCTTTGAATTTATTTTTATGAATCATCTTACTGATGAGGTAAGGTTCTCATCCATTTTTTAGATCAGGAAAGGGTAAGAACTGGGCCTGGCAGCAGATGTGTGCACTCTACACAGGCACTGCCCACAGCATCAGTCTGGACACGCAGGCTGCCAGATAGCACTCACCAGGCTCCGACACCCAGCCAGTGAGGCCTGTGCAAAGAAGCGATGTGCAGTCCTGGGCTGGGTGGACAAAAAGATATTGTGTATGGGAATCAAGCTTGTCTTTAACTATGTGCAAACAGAAAAGCTGTGCCATGAACTCTTCACTTATGGATACTAACCTTTAAACCTATCATATAAAAGTAAATTTTATCACCCGTTTTATAGGTGTGCAAAGAGGCTAAATCAGCAACCCATGGCCACAAGAGTCCAGCTGTCCTACTTTGCTGCTAGGAATACAAAGGACAACGATTTTCGTAAGGTATGACAGGCTTTTTATAAAGTTGTGCTCTAAGGCAATGAAAGGGTATAGAGTACTGGCTGACAATCTCTCAGCTGGATTACTGCTCTGCTGGAAGCAGGCCGGATGCTCTAACACAGCGGCTGAGCTGCAAGCAATAGCTGCAGTCACAGTTAAACAGATGGGACTCAGCTCACCTCTTAGGGCCTATGGGTTGGAGTCCCCATGCTCCTTACGCTGCATTCCTAACTCTCAGTCCCTTAGCAGTCTGTCCTCTTCACTCCTTGGCTAAAGCACAGCTGCCTGCTATCTACCTTATAAGAACTGTCTTCTCCCCCACAGAAGACGCTTCCTTAAGGAGACAGTGCCTAGCTTTGCACCATAGGTCTATTTCCAACATTAGCATGAGCTTTTGTAGCAATGAAACAGGCTAACTTGTAATAAATTTGTTGCTTTCCTAGAAGACTTGAAATTCTTAGTTTTCAAAAATCACTTAGCCTACAAAGTCAGCCTGAGTAAGGCAAAAAGGACAGGTATAGCTCAAACTCATTCTGAGGTCCAGTATCAGCCAAGTAGACGACATTAAAAATGTTAAACCAGCCTCTCCTTAATTAAAAAATAATTAACTAATTAAGCAAATGAAATAAATACATCAAAATATTTACCAAATGAAGGAGGAAAACAGATCTATGTTCTGATAAGTCTAATTTCTTAGTGGAAGCCTTAAGAGCTTTCTGAACATTTTCAAACTGAAATTTACGGTGCCGGGGGGACTTAGCTCAGGGCCTCAGGGCCGCCGTGCCTGCCTTGCTACAGCAGGTCCTGGTTTGACCCCTGTGGTGGTGGGGGCGATTTTCGGCCTTCTGAAGTGCTCTTCCTCCAGTCACTGTGCGCTCCCCACATTCATCCACACCTACTTCCACTCTAACCTCTCGCTTCTGTTGTTTCACCCCCATCATCTCAACACATTTATGTTTATTCCCAACTCTAGTTCACACAAGCACTCAGTTAACTGAATCCTTACAGCCAAGCCAGAGCTTAAAATGCGTTTGGTTTAGTAACCTAGAAAATGATCATAACCTGAAGTGATACAACAAAACAACGCTTTCCTGGTATAAAAAACCCAAAGCCATGGCAAGCTCCTTATAATGTTCTGGATTCTGTCCGTAGCCCTCATCTGTCCATATCCCTCCACGTATCCGATGGAGATAAACACAAAAGATTCAGCGGCCCTTCTGCACCACATGGATCCCCAGGATTAAATTCACAGTACTCCCCCTCCTTATCCAAGGTTTCGCTTCCTATCATTTCAGTTACCACAGTCTGAAACTATTAACATTTACCTTGTGCTTTTGAGAGAATAGCCACATTATAAACTACTCTGTATTACTGCAGACACACATGTACAGGAAAAACAATGTATATATAGGGTTTGCCCAGGGTTTCGGGCATCTGCTGGGGGTCTGGTTTACCATATCAGCTTCCTAACTTAGAGGCAATGAGCTCAGAATCCCAGCAACACCCCTGTGTACTTCACACATGCGTGCAACTGTGAAGTACACACCCAAAGAGCATGGTACGTGCTCACCGTTCAATTTCACGTATTAACACACCACCTTGGAAGCAGCAAGCTCCTTTCTCCACACTGCACAGAGGACAGCTCGCTAGAATGGACTTAGGAACCTTGCTACTCTGCAGTTGCCTTTTGATATGGAGACAGTGGATTCAATAAAAATAACGGACCTCTTTGCCAAGTCACTCATGTGCTGTTTTCTATGAGAATTCACATCCCCTTTACTAAAAGGCTTGTCTCACTACAATAAAGGCCACCAACATCTCTGAGCAGCTGACCCAAGGACAAAGACACAATAAAAATTGAAAAAAAATTTAAAAATGGTTTGAAGGATATGAGAAAAAGAAAGACATTATGTACTTCTCCTTATGTATTACAAAGTATTGCTAGGAACAACCTGGACACAATGATCCTCTCCAGGCATTTAATGCAGGTTTCAACAAGGGTAATAAGGTGCTTAAGTTTATTTAGAAGTAGGCCAAAAAAAAATAATCTTAAGAGAGGGTGATATAAGTACTGTACTCAGTACAATACTGAACACAGACTAGCCATGGAGCAGAATGCTTGGGACTGTAAAGTTTAAAATAAGAGCTAGTATAAGTATTTAATTTTTTAAGGATTTATGTTATCTTTAAATGGCATGCGTGCAAAAAAAAATTTTTTTTTGGTACCAGGGATTGAACGTAGGATTTTGTGCTTGTGAGGCAGGTGCAGTGCCACTAAGCTAAATCCCCAGCCCTTGAGTACAAATTTTTTTTTAAATTATTTTTTCTTAGTTTCATACATTTTGTTATTTTTTTCTTGAGGGTAAAGGCTTCCAGATCTTAGGGTATAGATAGGCACTTTTTATAAAACACTGACTTATTTCTACTCCCTAGATGTGAAAACTGCTTACTTAGGAAATAATCTAGTTCCACAAGCCTCAGAACACTTACAGCAGCTTCCCATTTGGGGATATTACACTCTGAGAAGTTCTGCAGAACAAGGAATTGCCCGTTCACAACCACACAAGTCCAGCGTGTCCGTGCCCTGAGGAGGAGCCCACCACCAAGTCCTCAGTGGACAGTGTGCAAGGGGCAGTGAATGGGGCGAGCCCATGCCCCAAGGAAGGTTGGTCTGGGCCAAAAGTGACAGCTCTGCGTGCCTGCAAGGAGGACTGTGGTGCAGACAGGATCGCAGCCACCCTCCTGAGGCCTAGGCTTCGGGGTGGTTCCTCCACTCCATCCTTGGCTCTTCCACAATTACACAGTTGTTTCGATTCGCTTGCTCCTCAGGGGCCCAGTTTTTTCTGAATACCAACTCCTAAACAAGTCCACAGCTGTCCTGAGGGCCAAGGCTCTAAGGAGTGTTGATGACTGATCGGTGCCTGAACACTGCCCTGTTCATGCTGTATGAAGCCCCACACTGAGCATGCTGGGCATCGAGGCCAGGCAGATGTGGCTCCTTTCTCTCAAGACTGCTCATAGCTGGAGACAGCGAACAACAGGGCACAGCTAAGTTACGTGTCTCAGCATGCAGAATGAACAAAGGGATGCTCCAAAACTCCATGTAGGGAATCCGGCTTCCCAGAGGAAATCCACTTACATTTAAACGCCTTTCTAGAAAATGGGCAACCCGGGCATGGTGGCGCATGCCTGAAATCCCAGCAGTTGGGAGGCTGAGGCAGGAGGATCACTATGAGTTCAAGACTAGCCTGGGCTACATAGTGAGTTCCAGGTCAGACTCAACTACATAGTGAGACCCTGTCTCAAAAAACCAAAAAAACCAAAAAACAAACAAACAAAAAAGGGCAAAGGCAAGGCTCTGGTGCCACTGCCCTCAGATCATGCCCCCGTGTGCAACCTGTGGGCCTCCTGCAGGTCCTAAACTCTTTAAGGTTTAGGACCAAGCCTTTGTTTCGAAGACCATTTCTTCACACAGCACAATATTAACAAGCACTCTTGATCAGTGAGCAGGATGGTACCTGTATCTAGCATGATATCCAAACTTGGGACACCCCTAGGCACAGCAATGCTACCTAATTTTTAGGCACCCAGAGTTACACAGGGAAGACCTGAAGATCAAGACTCAAAGAGCATGTGTTTTAAATAGTGGAAAACTGTGTAAGAAATTGTAATTCAGCACCCATGTTTATTGCAGCACAGTTTGTAATAGCTAAAACTTGGAAACAGCCCAAAAGCCCATCAACTGGAGACTGGATAAAGAAAATGTGTGTGTGTGTGTGTGTGTGTGTGTGTACGTGTATGTGTGTGTGTGTGTGTGTGTGTGTGTATACACACATACATATATATATTTATAATGGACTACTGGGCTGGGGATTTAGCTCAGTGGCACTGCAACTACCTTGAAAGTTCAAGGTCCTGAGTTTGATCCCTGGTACAAAAACAAAACAAAACAAAACAAAAAAAACTAAAATGGAGTACTACTCAGCCATAAAGAATGAGAAGCTAGGCTGGGCATGGTGGTACATGCCTGAAATCCCAGCAGTCAGGAGGCTGAGGCAAGAGGATCACTTGTGAGTTCAAGACCAGCCTGGGATACCTAGTGAATTCCAGGTCAGTCTCAACTACACAGTGAGACCTGTCTCAGGAAAAAAAAAAGAGAAACTAGAGCCATTTATAGATAAATGGATGCAAATTGAGGCCATACTGTTTAAGTGAAATACATAGGACACACATGTAAATATCAAATAGTTTCTCTGGTGTGAGAAACTGAAAGTGTAAATAAGGATCAAAATATATAACATGAAATAGGAAGAAAAGGTCCAAAAGGGA